CACTGCTAGTAGTGTAGAGTGATTGTGTCCATGTTATGTGACTATTCAGTGCCATCAAGGGCAGACTGGCCTTGTCCACATCTGGCCCTAGTTTTCTTTGGGTCCCGTTGCCCTCAGGGGTAACTATTATTTTCATTGTGGCTTTTTTCAAGAGAAGGCTGCATGGAGACCTCATAGCAGCTTACCAGTATCTGAAGGGGGCCTATAGGGATGCTGGGGAGGGACTCTTCATTAGGGACTGCAGTGATAGAACAAGGGGTAACAGGTTAAAACTTAAACAGGGGAAGTTTAGATTGGATATAAGGAGGAAATTCTTTCCTGTTAGGGTGGTGAGGCACTGGAATGGGTTGCCCAGGGAGGTTGTGAATGCTCCATCCCTGGCACTGTTCAAGACCAGGTTGGATGAGGCCTTGGGTGATATGATTTAGTGTGAGGTGTCCCTGGCCATGGCAGGGGGGCTGAAACTTGATGATCTTAAGGTCCTTTCCAACCCAAACTATTCTATGATTCTATGATTCTATGATTCTATGATATAATGTGAGGACTGTGCTGTAGCTCTGGATTCAAAACAAATAGAAATGCCCTTCACAGAGGAGGCATTAGACTGGTGGTGCTTGTTGCTGAAGGATGTAGTGGTAGCTTTACAACATGGATGCGTGGAAGAGAAGTCCACAGATGCTTAATAGATATAGAAAACCACACATAGATCAAGTTGAATCTGGGGGAGAATTCAGAGGATATACCGTGCACAGCCTCCTGTGTTCTTGTCACAGGCACCGGCTTATCTCCGAGGATGGGATACCAGGGAAGGTGGACCATTGGTTTGACCCAGTATGGTCATTTGTGTGTTTACTCTTAACACCTTCTCTAGGAAGAAAACCTGGAAGTTTCCTCAAGATATTCTCCACCTTCCAAGGTCTTATAAAACCTGTCCTTCAGCAATTTACTTACTCTCTTCTGGCCCTGATCCTTATTTCAACAACCGTGCTTACCTGCTGTTAATTTCTTTGATGCAATCTCTGCCTTGGTTTTTATCCTCTGCTGTGCCAAAATAGTGACTCAGCATGATTGAAAGATCCTTGCAAAAGCCAGTGAGTTCTAGTAACAAAGTTCTCCAGCACTGACTGCTTTTGGGTGTATGCCCTGCTGGAATCCCCCACCTCCTCAGCACTTACACCACTGTCATCACAGACATATAATATTTATAATTAAGATGGGCAGTGCCCACTTACACCATATTCCTAAGAGAATACCCTGTAAGTGAATGATGTACCTGCTCCAACCCCCTCAAGTTGTTACTAGACTATCCCCGGTTTACAAGCATGACATGGAGCTGTGTCAATAGATAGTCATCAAAACCTCTGTTTTACTACTCCCACCTACCATGTTTATAAAACACTTAACTGGAATTGGGCTGGTGACTTTCTGTGCAACACTGATCAGTTGCTTACAGTGGTAGCTGTAAAAGGTAATGGTCTTATATACTTTCCCTTTGTTTTATTCACCATTAGTTTTCTACTCCCACATCCTGTGCAGGCACCAGCTCTTTACATTGCAAGATAGAAGAGATGTGCTAGGGCTTCCGGGTACTTTGTGACACAAAGAATACAGAAAAGTTGCTCAAAATCATGATCTGGATGATTGCTCTAGCTGGATCTTACATGTAGCAGCAGAGGACAGTTTTAGAACAGCAAAATCCCGTAGCAAATTTTACATACAGGAGCTTTTAATGACAGTACAGCCCAGAGCCAGAAGCCTCCAATACCCTGTAAGTGCCAATACCTGGACTTTTGAAGGTCTAAAGGCAACAGAAAAGAAGTGTGACCTAGCCAGGCTTAAGGCTGTACTAAATCAAAACTTTCTTCATTGTTGTTCTGCTCTGGTTTCCCCTAGTGATGAGCCTACACTTGAGGATTCAAGGGTGGTTTGGTCTCCAGTAAGACAGACACACAGAGCTCAGTACCAATCTACAAGTACTTCATTTTCAAAGTTTTCCCAGCTGGCGAGACCTATTTGCTAACCCAGTAGCAGAAAACTTATGCTATGGGCTGCAGGTGAGTGTTCAAGCATGAAATTTATGCTCTATGTGCTCAGCCCAGGAGTATGTCATCCAGATGAGCAACAGCCATGTGTATGCGTGAAAAGCAAACAGAGGCATGGCTCTAAAGATAGTCCTGGACTCTGCAGTCAACCACGGCTGACTGAAATCCGTAACTGCATCTCTACAGTAATCCTGAGAGTGCAATAGTAAAATACTTCAATTGATTTTTTATGTTTAACATTTTAATTTGGAGACTGACACTTGATCTGATTTGAAATGACTGTACTCAATGACAATTTGATTCACAGGGCTGGAAAAATCTGCTAAAGCCCTAAAAGCTGAACACATGCAAGGCTGAACTTTCCAAAGGCGCAAAACGAACAAGACATGGCCACAGATGGCAAAACCTGATTTTAATTGCTCTTGCCTCTGTGGAGGTCTCCACTCCCAAATTAAGGTGACCAGCCCCTCCCAGGTAAAAATATATGCTGAGTAGATAATATAGAGGCTTTTGTGTGCTATGTGTAGCCATCAGGGTTGCAAAAAGCAGGATAGGGGCAGTCATGTGTTGCACATAAGGCTTGACCTCAGGGGCTGAACCCTGCACCCTCTGGCTGTGACAGCCAGCTCAGATCTCAGCAGCTGTCCCCTGTGCCTCAGGGAGAGCCGAAACAGCCATAGTCACTATAGTAATTTTCTAAGGGCTGCAGCAAGGAGACCAGAGCCCACCTAAGAAGATGCTAACACATCTTCCTTTGGTGCAGGATTGTATGTTTTTTTCAGCAGCTGTCTAAGTACCTGTTGCTACTGTGGCTCTTCATTCTGGTGTCTTTTCTGGAGCCAAGGGTTTCAGCTGGTTCAGCTCCTTGTCTTTCAGTGTCTGCCCAAATTAGATACTCTACTACAGTGCTCACCAAAGATCCAGGTAATAGAGGAACCTGGTCTGGGTCTTATTGGTAATGGTTGGATGTAAAGGTGGAAACTGGTAGTAAAACTGATGTGGTATAGGTGGTTAGTGGTCTGACTGCAGTGGTTTTGTTTGGCCAGTGGCAGGAGACTCAATGACTATGGATGTCAGAGACAGGCAGCAGCTGAGGAGTATTTCTGTAAACATCTGGATGCATGTGTGTTTCTCTCTGAGCTTGTAGCTTTTATTTTAACATGTGCTTTTGCAATAAATGCACAGAGGTTTAATTTTTGTAAAGCAACTGACACACCACCGAGTGGATTATGCCAACTTTATGTGGTGGAAGGACTTGGGAGTAATTCAATCTTGTGGGCTAATAATATTTAGAATTTACATCCCTGAAGTATCTGGAGCACACAGACAAAATCAGGTTCCTACTGTGTTAGGCTCTGCTTATACAAGAGATGGTCTTTGCTCAAAGACTTTGTAATCAAAATAAAATGAGATATCGTCTGCAATTGTATGTGTTACTATAAGATAAAACTGCATCAAGTGGTAATGAAATTGCTCGCAGCTCACAAACCTGTCAGGGCAGATATATAGCATTGCCTCATCTAATACAGGTTTCCATCTGTGGGTAACCTCTTATTAGTAAAATACATTATGCAATATCCCTTAACAATTCATAATAGATTGTATCTGAAGAAGGGTAGATGAAGTAATGAAGACAGCTTACAGGTGTCTAAGAGATAAAGGCGTAGCAAGTCCTCTGGTAGAGCAGCTGCCCAGATGCTCTTTTCCTCTTTACAGAAAAGTCCTCCGAGCCCATAGTGTATTGTCTGCAATGAAAGGCTCAGCTGAGCTGTCACTTGAGATCACACTGTCTGGTGTTCTGTACCAGTGAGCTGAGTGTATATATTGCAGATGGAAAATGTTGCTGCTACCTCTGACAATACTTTTCACTCTTTGGTAGAAGAAAAAAAGGTTCTGCCTCTGACTCTAAACCCAAGTAAGACGAAGTAAAGTGTGGGGATTTTTTTTAAACCTGTTTCTCATTTCAGAGAAATAACTATTGAATTACTGATCATATAGTCCTGGGCATGTATGAGCATGACTTACTTTAGAAGATAAATGGAGTGTGAGTGGTAAACAGCTTTTCTTCCGTGTTCTTGTTTAGTTAATGGGAGTTTCACAGATGACTTCAATCGAACCAAACAGACCAATAATGAGTGGTCATTTGAAAAAGTCCTGCTGAATTTTATAATGTGAGAAAAGATGTTTAATGCATTTCACTAGTAAGTTTTAATCTACGCTATACTGCTTTATTATGAATCCCTTGTGTTTTGGAGGCTCTCTAATAACTACATTTTGAAGATGGCATTTCTGTGGTAACAGAAAAAGCAGTTACAGATATAACATAGGACATAGTTAGCCCTTGTTAGCTCTGCAAAAATTACCAAATGACCAACTTTAAGCTTTAGACAAATTACAATGGGCACCAAGTGAACAAAAGAACTGAAATACCTTGCCAACAGTCATACTCAGATGCACTGCCTTGTTTAGCTTATTCTGTGTTAACAGGTCTTGGTTGGCAGTGCGTATCTATTTCCCACTCACACACTGTGGCACCCGTCCCTACCGCAAGCAACCTGCAAGCCTGCGTCCCTCTTCAAGGGCAGAGGACTGCAGGAGGGAGCCTCAAAACTGGGCACTACCATTCCCAAAGGCCTTTGAAGTTCTCATTCCTCCTCTGTAAAATGGGTTGTGACACTCCTGGGTTGGTCTGCTCTGGGGATTAGTGTATGTGTTACTCTCAATAACTCATTACTGTTCTTGGGAAGATTATCTAAGGTATGGATTGCCTCAGGTGCAGATACACATGAGGTAGCTCTGTGTGACAGCATGGCACTGCTTGGGCTGGTACACAGCTGTGCTGCTTCTGAGCTGTCCAACTCTCACACATGCCTGGCCCTGAAAAGACCTGGTGAGACAGCTTCCTGAACATCCATAATGTTTTATTTTCTTTGGGTTTTTTCCTATTTCTTTGGTTTTTTTTTGGAGTTTTTCTTTTCCAAGCTATCTACTATTCCTGATAACAAAGACCATGCTATAAGACCTAGAGGTTAGGTATCCAGACATCTCTGGCAGTGTATCTGCTGCCCTTGTCACAGACAACTGTTTCTACAGCAGAGAACGACACAGGATCCAGAAGCAAGTGAAAATGGATGTGAGCACCATATGCTGCAGATGGGGAGTGACAGGGTACTGACCATCAGAAAGTTGAGAAAGAAAGAGGAAAACCAAGTTTGTCTTCCCTAGAGACTCACTATGTGGTCCTTAGTCTGGGACTGTCTGTGAGACAGGAGAAAACCCTCAGCTGGGTTAGGCTTCAGGCTGTATTTCCCTGTCCTTAGCGTTAGAGAGTTTGGGAATTTAAAATCTGGAGCTGGAGCCCTTGCATTTTGTGAGAGGCAGCAGATGGTTGCCCCGTGCCCAGGAAAGCAGCAGCATTGCTCTGTCACAGCTGAGCATAGCAAATTCTTTCCTTTGGATCATGCTGTCACTGCTGTGTTGTGCAGCAAACACAGCTCCTGGCTGCCCCCATCCCTTCCCAATGTAACAAGCGTGGCAAAGGCTTGAAATATGTTGAACAGCAAGTAGCAATTCCACTTAATCTGATATCCGCTGTAATACATTGCATCATACAACAGTGCTGTGCTCCAGCCTCAGATCTTCCTATGGCCTCTACAGCTTTTCCAGTCTCTGATCCTTCCTGAGTGTTTGTATGAAGCCACTTGTGATTTCTCGAAAAATGTGTCTCTGCAAAAGAACAGGATCCAACAAACTAAAAAGAAAGTTCTGCTCTCTAAAAATAAAATGAAATTTTAAAAGGGCTATAAAAAACTGAGTCATTGACTGGATCCGGATGATCTACATGAAAGAGAACAATATTCAATTTGTTTAAACCCCCAAGTTCTCCTCAAAAGGAGCTATAGAAATGCATTCAGAGGCATAATGTAAATTAGAAAGCCTCCAACACAGTTCATACTTGAATGAAAATAATTCACACAGAATGCAGCAAATATGGTATAACTACAGCACCACTATTTTTTATACCACGAAAGCCTGTCTTTCCTCTGAAGGCTGGTAATTGTAAGGAATACAGTCCTTTTGACTTCCTACATAGAATTGTTCTACCCAGCCTCTCTATGTTTCTCAGTGTGTTAGCTACAAATGATTAAAGCTGGCCTCCTGGCCATTTGGTTGTTTTTCAGAGACTGTCAGTGTCTCCCACAGGCTGAAGTTTCACAGAAGAATATTCTGTGTATGAAGATAAAAGCATGCTATTTGTCTTCAAAGAGAAAACCAATAGAGAAGTCTTGACAGATCTCTTGATTATTTGGGTTTCTCTGGAAGAAAAAAAAAAGGTATTGCTTTTATTGCAATAAATTTTATAAAGAAAGTAAACTCAAAGCAAAATATGAATTACTGGTATTACCTCTGCTGAATGCTGCCAGCACCACATCCTCATTCTACCTATGGTGTTCATACCTTCTGAAAATTTGTGAATCTTGAGCTGTTGATTCAAATTAAGATGAGGTTGTCTACAATGATCTGAACATGTTCCAGGGAGCCTGGGCAATACCAGCTTTATCTTCCAGGGCACTTGTCCTTCCAGAAGCAGAGCCCCCATTTTCTAGCAGCTCCATGAAGAAAAAGATGCAAGCACCATAATTTGCTTTTTCTGATGCACCAGTACAGAAACTAAGAGGACTGCAGTATGTCTACCTGCTAGTGCGAGGTGAACACTGTTTCCAGGCTTCAAATTCACTTTTATGGCATTGCTCTAGCAGAAGGAGGAAGCACTCATTGAGGAAGATGCATCCTTCTTCTTGCTGCATGTGAAACATTACTGTGAGCGTCACTTAACAGCCTCATGGTCTCTTCATTGTAAGAGCAGCAGGACATGGAGGATTGCTGTCAGCATCCATTTTTGAGTATAATGGTAACAAAATGTTCCCACTCATTTTGAGGACTTGTGCCTGCATGTGACCATTCAAGAAATAAGGAGATGGTCCAGAATTTGCATGAAACATAGTAATTATAGCACAGAGCCAAAGAACCAGAACTACCCATATGTAATATAAAATCTGAAGAACTGGAAGAAAAATTTGTCTTTGTCTGCACTATTATTTGATCTGGCAGAAATTTTATTGTATTCTAACAGTATTTTTCATCCCATAGAAGGCTGGTTGTGATTAGCCTCTCAAGAACTTTGTTGAGTCTCTGTTATGTGGTTTATAAACTTGAACCTATAAGAGCTAAAGTTACCTACAGTCCTTTTGATCCAGTCTTCAATATAACTCCCTTCACTATTTTATGAAGCTCTTAAAAATGACCAAGTTTGGGCCCTTTGTATCTATTGAAAGGCCTTTCCAGGGCTTTAAATCTCCAATAATGAGAAACTCTGTTCTCATTTCTAGCCTGTTTTTTCTCTCTGTAATTACATGCTCTGTTTCCAAATCGTAGATAGCAATGTCACAGTTTAGCATATCCATCCCCCTGAGCCATTTTGGCTATGTCCTCCTTCTCATCGTGTTCTACATCATCTTCACTGGTAAGAGCTGAAGCAAAGGTTTGCTAACATCGCTGGATTATTCCTGAGTTTATGTCTGGTTGTTCAAGTCCTTCAAAACTCTCACACTGTAATAGTATGTTTTTTTTCTTACATGGTTGCTATGAATTCTACTCTTCCCTGAGACAAGTTTTGATGTGGAATGTCTCTGTCTTCTGTGGTTCCTATTTCCTTGTTAAAATACTTTGTTGAAAGTATTTCTTTAATGCCTGGAGGTGTGGAGTGTGTGGAACTGGGGTGTTTAAATGGTGAAAAAGATAGATAGGTTTGGAATTGGCAACGCTGACTGAGTCTTGGCAGGGGATGCACTTCAATTATGTCTCAGCCTGACTGGTATCCAGAAATCAATTGTTGGGTTTTTTTTCCTAAATCTCCCTAAGGGCTTATCAATTTATCTGTTCTGAGAATGTCTTATACACACTGACAAGTCCCCACAAATTTTGTGTTGGCTGTTAGGTTCCCCTACAGGGCATCCAAAGGATGTAGGTAGCATTTACATTAAATGCAATTTACGAATAAAATACATAACCAGTACTGAGAGACAAGAATAGATGACTTCTCATTGCTAACAAAAAATTATTCAGTTGCTTCCTTTTGCATTCTTCAAGAGAGGTGGAAAATCTTCCTCCTTGAATTGCTATCTTGCCTCAAAAGTTCCTGGTGTGCTGAGTATTGAAATTGGTATAGATTTGGATCCCTCCTTGGGCAGAGGAAGAGGTTAAGTTTTGTGACTCACTTCCTGGGTGAATGATCCAACCTTTCAAATATACTGGTGATACCATTACTACTTGATAATCCTGCTTAAGAGAAGATTAAACCCTTCTTCCTTTGAATTCTATGAACCATTCTACAGCTCTCTGTATACCTGTTTTCAGAAGGTATTATTTCAGGGCTCAGGATACTGAGTGTAGGGGTTTCCTTTCTTTACACTTACCACATCTTTCCTTATACCTGGTGACATCCCCAAAAGGCAAGAGATTTCCCCTTGCACATTCCTGTTTGGTGATTTGTCTCGGTGGTTTAACATGGGCTCTCTGCCTTGAAGACTGACTCCCCTGAGACCCTGTGAAACGCCTAACTGTCCTTATTCTTTAAACAGCAGCTTTGGGAACAAATGAGTTTGGAGTTCACTCTGGGGTGGGTTCCTGCATGTAAGATCCTTACTGGATTTTGCTTTCCTCTCACTGTTTCTTAGGAAATTGAGAAATACAATTTCAGAAATGAGAAAATAGTGAGAACCCACTGCATATGGTATTATTAAAAATCTCAGGCTACATCTCTGCTATCTGGAAAAAGGAAGTCAGTAACCACCTTCAAAATACAGAACCTGGTGGGGAGCTTTGTAGGCAGATAGATAAAAAGAGTTTCAGTATGGGTTCCTTTCTGGGAGCCTTTCCATGTGTTCTTCAACCACTGTCTTGGTGATTAGTGTGTGTGATTTAGGGCTGAGATGGTGGCTGGTAAAAGCTGCATTTAATCTACTTCCCTTTCAAGTTGACGTGAGAATATTTGTCACAGATTTCTCTCTCTGAGAATAACAGAGAAAAACAGACCCTCTAAGGCTATTTCAAACCAAGGTGCACTCATGCAATTAGAATACCTGCCAAGGGTAGGCTCCACTTTATTTTACTTGGAGGATACAGAGCAGAGCTGGCTTGAACTTTCTGAGCAGATACTAGAGCTGTTTCACCAGCTTAGGAGGATATCCCATACCATATGACATAGGGCTTAGCAATAAATGTTCAGGAAAAGGAAGGGGAGACTGTGGAATTTGTCTTCCCAAGTAGCTGTTAGGTGTGACAGAGCCCTGCTTTCCTGGGGATGGCTGCACAACTGCCTGAAGATATGAAATAGTGAGTGAATTCCTTATTTTGCTTTGCTTGCATGCACAGCTTTGATTTCTCTGTTGAACTATCTTTACCTTGGCTCAAATGTTTTCTCTCTTTTAGCCTTCTGATTCTCCCCCAGAACCACTGGGGGGTGCTCCGCATGTGGCTGGATGAGGCTGAGCTGCTGCAAGGGCTAGCCAACAGCAAGGTTTCACAAACACAAAACCTCAGACTGAACAGAGGAAAAGAAAAAAAAACAAAAACAAAACATAGAAACAAACATATGTAGGAAAATGACACCGAGCACGTCTTGGCTGCTTGGCTTTCTGCTTTTGGAATACTGAAACGCAGAGTGGTTGAGAAACACGTCTGTCTGTTACTTCCCCTGAGATCCAAAGCTGCCCTTGTTCTGCATATGGTAGTGTGACCAGAGGCACCAGCTCAGTACTAGGGACAAACCAGCAAGTGTCGTACACTTCTCTTTCCCCTCACCTGCCAAAAGGTGACCCTCCTCTGTGAATATAAATGTGTCTTCAGTCTCCAGTTTCTGCTGGCCCACTTGGGATGGATGAACTTCTGGATGAACAGCAGGATGAATGTGTCTGAGGTTTCCCTTGGCTGTGCTAATAAGATGTTTACTGTAGTGGAAAATGCCTGGCAATGTCATATGCCTCATAGATAAAACTACTGAGCTAGTTAAACCAGCTAAAACTATTTAGCTAGAGACACTAATTTTGATGAATGGAAATCAGGCAAGATTATAAGCAGTCCTTGAGATTAGATGAAAAATCATGAGTTAGCCTAATGAAAGAGGTCTCATTTGGAAATGAATACAAATGCACAGATGAAAGTGAGTCCAAGCAGTGTGTGTGCTCATTTGCGGTTGGTTACAGAGCCAAGGCTGCTCCAGGTTTATGAAGTTATGTATCACACTTATGCTCCTTTGGAGCAGCCTGTCTAGCTTAGCCTTCTAACATTACTCTATATTGTAATGTATTTGTCTGGGAGATAGCCATTTAATTTACATTTTTAGATACCAAAATAGCATGTGGATTTCACCCACTGCAAGGTTTTGGCTCTGTAGGTGTGCTCATTGCACACCAGAAGGTTCATGTTGAATCTGCTACTCTGCCATTTTCGTCCTTTTTCTATTATTGAAAAGATATAGAGGAGATGAGATGGGTCTGAACTGTGCTCTGAAGCTCTTACAACCTGGACAAATAAAAGGAAATGGTGTAGCTGAGGAAAAAGGGAGTGAACAGTGGGGTTCAGCTTAAGTCAGCATGACCAAAGCCACAGTCATCTTCTCTCTTTGAAACTGTGTGACTGATAAGTGTCTGGCTCTCTACTTCCTCCTGCACTGCTGGCAGCAACTTTAAAATGTCAAAAAGCTGCAGCAGATTTAGTGTATCCATTTGGTCCATCCATTTTGTGCTTTTTAACTTCCAACTCTGATTATGAAGAGGTTTTCATTCCCTGGCTGGGCTTCCCACCATGTGGGAAGACTCAAACATCCTTGGTTTCTTTAATGTACAAAGAACCTGGACACAACCTCTGCCTCTGAGAAAGAGAGGACTTCGGAAAGGTAGGAACATCTCCTTGTCTGGGGTGTCCATGGACCTGGAGCCAGGCTCTCAGGTGCTGTCCTGGCCTCCCCAGTCAGTAGTAGTGTGACAGATTTCTGCCAAGCAGCTTTTGTGGTTTAGAGAATGAATCAAAGGATTTCCCCTGCAGTTCCTGGTGTTTGTTATAAGAAGTTGAAATGTGTCTTGGCAGCCAAAAAGCTCCTGTTTCCTTCAGCTCTGCTCCAGCTGAATGAAAACCACCCGAGGCAGGAACTGAGTCCCTGCATGTATTGCACTAGGCAGATAAAAGCTGAGAGAGGTTTGGGGAGCTTTCTAAATACTAAGCACAGAGTAGTAAAGGCAGAAATAGAAAACAAGAAGAAATACTTTGGTTTGCCTGAAATCCTAGTGACATGGGTTGCAAGCCTGAAGATTAAATCTGAAATCCCAGTCCTGGATCTGAACTACTAAGAGTTTTCCATCCCTAACTGAAGCTACCTGGCCACGTTGGTATTTCTACTGTGCTTGTTGCTATGAGATTTCTATTTTGAATAGATAAAATTCAAACTACCTAGGTCAGGTGCTTAGTTCAACTAAATTTCAGCTGTGTACACTGGCTTTTGATGTTTCTTTACAATTAGGAGCACCAGAAAGGGCACTAGATTGGGGAGTAACAAGATTACCTTGGTGAGACTGTTAGGATGAGGTCCTTCCCAACTAAATCCGTGTGGAGTCTCATGTGCTCTCTCGCAGAAGAGACAAAAACAAGTAGTAATCAAATCAGACTGAAAGAAATCTAGCCATCTGCCCTGTGTCATGGTGACTAGAAGTTAGAAGATAAGCAAATTTACAAACCTAGTCTCAGTGAGGTTGCTTGTTTTGGTCTTTATATATATTTCCCAGGAACTCTTACGGCCTCACTATAGCAGATAGCTTTCTGATAAATGCTAACAAAGTTACAAGAAACAGATCTGCCTTCTTACTAATGAAAAACATAACAGTAAAAAGCTAGGGAAAACAAGCCACAACTGGTCCATCCACTTAATGGATTTTGATTATTGCCATTTACTGGAATATTTGGCTTTGGATCAGTCAGGAGCCATAAAGACGCATGTTTTGTCTCTGTTAGGCACTTAAAACTAAATTTTAAGGGAGCCAGTGGTAATGTTACCTGATCACTGCACAAACTACAGATGATAGGGTGGGATGGTTTTGCTTTTACAGGATGGCCTTCAAAACTATCATAGCTATTAAGATGACACCTAGTATAGGAGATTCTGCATTGCTGAATGCCACACAAACATCAGAAAATCAAGTGCTGGAGAGTGCTTCAGGCATTCAAAACAAAAACTTCAGTTCCAATTTTCTATCCTGACTGCATCTTCCATCAAATGCAGGGCTGAGCCCCCTTTCATGAGAGAAGGCGGAGCTTCTCTTCCAAATGCTGCAGTCCTTGCAGAAGTGTCCAGTGCTCAATACAATCACTGAGGATCTCAACTGCTGACCATGTTGCTTTGCAGACTCAAGCCCTGTCATAAGCAACGGATCTCTTTCTCCTTCCCCTTTCTCTCCCCTGGTATTGAGAAGGAAGATGGCAATGTGGCAATGGCTTCTAAATGACTTGCTTGCTTGGCTGGCCAGGATGCATGCTGGATCTGAGAAGCTCTAAAATGTCAAGAGTTTGCAGATATTTCCTTGGAGGTTAGCTAGGAAAGGAAAACTGGTATTAACCTCAACAGACTTGAGGAAATAGCAAGTCAAAAGCAGCAGGGTAAAACAGCTATCGCTATAATAATGTACCACTTCCAGGAGAATGGAAAAAGTTGAGCATACACTATTCAGACCTAAGGCCAGCTCCAACATGTCGCACAGCCATTCTGCACTAGAGGAAGGTTGTGGGTTGGATCCTCCGCGTTACCTAATCAGCTTATTTTTATTAATGGCATTGATACAATCTTGGAAAACAGGAGTATTTTTTATTCCGTAAGCATACTCTGCATTTTGAAGAACAAAAGGTTTTGAGAAGCATGCTTAGATCCAGCCTGTGTTGATTATGCAAAGGTTTCTGTTACAGATATTGGTGTACGTAGGTTAGAACTGGTCCCTCCCGAAGGACCTGTTTATGAGAAATTTATTAGCTGGCACAATGGAGCTAAGAGTCTTTTTACCACACAAATCAGTTGTGTTTACTAATTGGGTAAAAGGTGATAGTCTTGCCGCACCTCTCTGTGTTGGACTGGAATGTGTTTACAGAGACCTGGGACTGTTTTGACAAGGGCTGCCAGGCTGGGTGGTTCTGACACCTGCGTTTTTGACAAATGAAAAGTACAGTTGTCCCCAGAGATCATGATGAAATATTTGTGATGAGAAGATGAGAAATTGTGATGAGAAATTAAGAGAAATTAAGGATGTCGCAAATACAGAAAGGAAACAAATGGAAGTAAATTTATGTTTAACTAGCGGTATAAGGTACACCAAAGGTATTGTGGGCTACCCATCAATAGATGAATACAGTAGATGGTTTAGAGGGTTTTTTAAAGCTCATTCTCACATTCATGCTTTAAAAGCCATGGGATCAGTTTCCTGACAAACCTCTGCTTCCTTAGTAGTGGAGGAGCATACAGACCAGCCCACTGCTGGTTCCAGAAGCTCAGCAGAGCAGGTGTCATTGCTGCTGGTGACATTGCTTTGGGCACTTTCTTAGCAGCTGCAATAAAGTCCCTTAGTGAGCAAGAGACTGAGAGAAAGGAGCAGAATTCAGATTTCCTGTCACTACCCCTATTGCTCCCTAGAAGTATCTTTACTTGTAATCCTTATAGGAAGTTTGAATGCCAGTTTCAGGCAGAGGCTAAACTTGTAGCTATAATTAATTTGGAGCCCTTTGCCATATGCTTTCATTACTGCATGTTGAGAACCCAAGTAGGTCAGTGCTGGGATGTAGGCACTCCTATTTCCAACAAGATCCTGCCAAACAAAGTGGGTAGAAAGCTCCTGCCATTCCCCCAGCGCAGGTGCAAGGCTTCTCTACTAATTTCCAGCATGGTTAAATTCCCAATTCAGTAGAACAGAAAACAACCCTTAAAGAGCTTTTATTGTTTTTCTTTGCTGTTTGGCAACGCACATAATCTTTAGTGCAACCAACTGCACTGCCTGGCATTAATTTTGCTGGCTATCCCTGAACAATTGCTGACTATCTCTTTCTGCCTGATAACTGCGGCCCTATTGTCAGGCTGCTTTTTGGCTTCAGCTTAAAAATGTGAGGCTCAGGGAGACAGGGTGTAGGATGAAAAGCAAAAATAGCTCTGAGCAGTAGAACAGACTGGTAGCCATGTTTTTCCACAGCTATAAAATATGGGGGGGGGGGGGGGGGTGCATGTTAAGATCTCTGATTAACAGTGAAAGCTCTATGAAGTTTACTAGAATCTATATTGTGTTCTTATGGATCTGGGTAAATAATAAACATTTCCATCAATCTGTGAGCTATGAAAGATCCCTTGTATGCCAAGGAAAAGCTCACACCACGAGTTTTTATCAGGAGACAAACAGAGCACACATTTTAAGAACAGTGGGAGAAGAGTAAACAGTCTCTAATTTATGTTGTACAAGCTGAATCCCTGTGATCTTTCTGTAGATGTAATGGGGCTTACATGACAAGGTAGTCTAAGAAACAGTTCTCCCAGAGACAGGGTGAGAAATAGATGTACAGAAATATTCTGTTTATTTTGCATAGAGAATAATTAAGTAAACCTAGAAAAGCAAACCCACTTTCCAACAGTTGGAAAAAGAAGTGAAAGAAGTTTTGGTGAAAAGGTTTTGAAGAAGTATTGGTGAAAGAAGTTTTATGTTGGAGAGCTTGCAGTCAAAGGTCATTCAGGAAGAGCAGCCAGCTAAGTGTGAAATGGCTATTCAGAGCTTAAAAGACCAGAAGCCTGGAAGCTGGCACAGATAGTGAAGGGCACGGTCAAAAAACCTGAACACCAGCAGAGAGGACCCCATCTCAGCTCAGACAAGGGGTTTGCAAGAACAGACCAAAACCTCTGGTCATCTTGTTGGTCATCTCTGGACTCTGCAGCTGGTTCACATACCAATTTTCTACCTTAAAATATCACTTTTTTTAATTCAAACCGAACTATGTATGCGTATAGCCTTATATGTCCAGCAACTCAGAGTATCCTGCACTATGGTGACATACTGCTGAGGGGAACTGTGACCTTCATGGTTAATTCACGGCACTGCAGAAGTGGGACCTATGTTGAGTCCTCTCCTGCCCCACAGCCAACACTTACTGTGTAATGGCTTTCAAGCCATTTTTAGCTTTTCCATGTATCAGTTTCCCTGTCTGTAAGACTGGGATAGCAACTCCTCCTCCTTTGAATTTAATAACTGGAATTCTTGGAGGGCTTGAAATATGAACAGAAATAAAAATCAAGGCCAAAATTGAAATACACAAATGAGGTATTGAAGTGCTAACTTTCCTAATCCAAAACAGTCAAAAATGCTTAAATCTTTTATTCTCTTTGTCACACTGAAAGAGTCCAGGTACTTTTTAGAGTTTCTTGCTGTTTTAGTTGGGGGCCCTGCTGAACATTTTTCTTGACTCCCAGCTTGCAGTGACATGATCATTGAGAGTTTAGAAGCCCAAAGCAATTTTCTGCCCTGATGCTGGGCCATGCTGCTGTCAGCATGCTGACTTACTTTGGACAGCTGGAAGATACTGTTTCTTAATGCCAACTTTTGGAAGGCAGAGCTGATGATGCATGTTTACAGCACAAGCTGCTGCTGCTAAAGCCAGTAGCTGGATGAGTTACTGTGAAATGAGAATGGTTTCTGGCACTATGGGAGTCACTGCAGCAATTTTGTATCCTAGCAGAGAGCATTTACTAAAGCTGCTTTTAGAGATGAGGAGCAGTGCTGGCTTTCTACTCAGATGAACAACTCCGTAACTTTGTCAAGGTAACAAGTAAAGCAGAGTGAGGCTATCTTGCAAGTGATAGAGAATTAGGACTGTTCCCTTTCCGAGTTTCTAAGTCTGCAGAGACCTTACAGTATTGTAAAGAGCAGTGGCAAGCCATGTGCATTGAAAGCAGAGGAGTGTGACTGAAAAACATAGCTGCCGTGCAGGATATTGCTCCACCAGCGAAATGGATGCAAAAGACAAGAGCTGGAACATGTGTCTTCTCTCCATGAGTGAGGCTTTTCATAGCTGCGCTGCTAAGGAGCAAACCCTCTTCTTGAAACTTATCTTAGTCCAGGAAAATCTATCTCAGCTAAACCAATTCTGGAGGTTTTAGAAAACAGAAGTCTGTACTTTTTGTTCTTTTTTTTTTTGGTACGAGAAAGGGAAAAGATGGTGAGAAATCAAGGAGACCAGCTTAGCACTATTGCCAGTACAAATTACCAAAAAATCTTTCTGGTTTCTAGGTGACACTAAACATGAAAATGACTTCCTACACTTACTGATATGCGACCCTGGGCTGATGAAGCTTGAAACCTACATGCAAAACTAAAGCAGAAAAATTGACTTGTTACTGTGCCTTCGTTTTACGGAGAACGCTGGTATTTTGAATGGACAGAGGGAGACAGCTGAACAGGTTTAAAACTTTGACTTTGGAAGACTGAATCATGTCAGAGATAAAAGCTGCAATTGTTCAAAAATATGGTGCTTGGAGTGACTGTTTTTTAACTCCACTGTATAGATGAGCCAACATTTCTTATTTAAAGGGGGGAAAAAAAGGATTAATCAGTTTTAAGACTTGACAGCATATGAACATCATTATACCATTCAGCATATTCCAGGCAAGAAATGCCACACATCTGTTAGCATTATTGTTGAAGAAAGACATGCTTGTTTGAAAGACCTACAGGCATTGGACGATTTTCACAGCCCTTGTTAAACAGTCAATTGTCCTTGTTTTAAAATGTTGGAACCATGTTGCTGTTCTATTTTAAGTTTCATTTGCTTCACATTCTAATCAGTTCATCTTGGTTAAGTCTTTATTCGCAGGTTAGACCTTACAAAGTCATGACTTAACTCTCATCTGAAAAACTTTGAGAGATTTTTGGTAGTCCTGCATTCAGGAATTCATTCCTCTTTCTGGAAGTGCTAAAGCATAAGCTTAACTAATAATTTAATTTAAAAATCAGTAGAAATTGAGCATGTTTCTGTGTGGTCACTTGCTAATAATGTAATTTGAAGTACTTCCTTGCTCAGAATATTTTCATATTGTGCATTCTCTAGACGTTGAGAATATTTTTCAGAGCTCTTGTTCGACCTATGTTAATATCCATAGGAAGAGCTGTGCTGTCTGATTAACAGTGTTTGCTGCTGTTCCCAGAGCCCACCTCTCCTAACCATTACACTATGTGCACTGCGAATGACTGGAGCATCACAGATGCTAGTACACTACTGGCATCTCCAAAATGCACCTGCTTACCCTCTATCCACAGTTGGCCACTCCAAGAACACTTTCTGATCCTACTTTTGTAGAGAACATCCTCACCTCAGCCTTGTCCAGCATCCCATGCTCCTTTAGTGGTCTTCAGCCGAGATGAGCAGAGTGCCCTGTGATGCCCAGGCAATACAGCTGCTTGCATCCAATAGCTGTGCAATTTGGTTTTCCTTCTAACAATTTGATCATTTCCCTGTGCTTCACATTACAGGGTATCTTGCATCATGTATTAAGCAGTCACCATGTATTCGTCACCTGGCTAACTTCACAGTGGGTGGGCAGTCTGGCTGCGGTCCTTATCATGCCAGGAACACAGCTGATACTGCATTTTTGCCTGCTGTATCAGGACTATCCCATCTGCTTGTTCCCATTGTGCAGTAGTTTTTCCAGGGCTGCTGTACATCAGACCACAGGTAACCTGCACTCAGATGCCTGTTTCAGTCTCTCCAAGAAACCCATTACAGTTTTACGGAGCAAAACCACACTTACAAATTACAGTTCCTTTTCCAAAACTGTGTGTGCCCACACCTAGTTTCATCTATCAGTTCTATCACCATTAGATCTTATTGCAATAGTTAGGTTTCCTGTTTTCAAGCTCAAAAGAGCATTACTTTAGCCTTTTACAGTAGTATTTGGTTTCTACCTTCATGGCTTGACTTATATTGTAAATGGGATGCAGTTTTTCCAGTACTGATCATAACAGCTCTGCCATAGGAGTCAAGAAATACACATCCTTTTGTTCTTGACCTACTGCTATGTAGTTCTATTAATTTCCCACATCATTTTCAAAATCATTGTTTACAAAGCTACAAGTAGCCTTATGTTTGTGAATAGCCTCTGTAGTGTTTGCTTCTAGATATATGACCTTGCTTTTGTCTGCATTAAGTCTCCTAAATGTGGCTAACCAAAGTCTGATGAAGCGTAATAAAGACTAAGAATTTGTCAGCTCTCTTATTGCTTGGATCTTCCATGTAATTTATAGTTGCCTCTTACCTGAAACCTTGTGGGTAGAACTACAAATTTACATGGAAGTATTTGCTCCTTACTGGCTTTTTGGCTTGCTCAAGGTATCACATCTGATCAGCTTCATTTGTTTAACATAATTAGAAGATTTTCAGGAAAAATAAGAGTAGCTTTCAGGATATTAAAAAAAAAAGCTATGAACAATTTACTGGTATTATATTAATGGATTGTTTTGCTGCCTCATCAATTCCAGAACTTGACTAGCTAACATGAAAAGTTCTTTTGCATATGAAAGAAAGTTCTCAGGTTAATTTACTTTTTTTTCCCCCCAAAAAATGTCTTTTAAAATTTATATATATATATATAAAGGACTGCATAATCTAGTATCAATTCTGAATTTAATGCAAGTTCAGATCAAAAGGAAGCAACACTGAAAGTGCTGCAAACTTCTACTACAAATATTCTGGCCCACAAATTAACTACTATTTCAAAGCATAAATTTATCATGCAAATGCATCTATGATTGCAAGAATCTCTGTATCTTGTGCCCCGATCACAAGTTCTGTTAACTAGGAATGAGTTAGAGGCCCCACACTGCAAAAGATAATTAGGAGATTACGGACAAAGAAGTCAGTTAAGAAATCTTTTGAAAATACTAAGAAAGATTTCATATTATTTAAATGAGGCTGGCAGTAGTAGAAATGTTGAGTTTTCCACATCTCCAACTATTTTTCCTCTCTCACACTGAGCTATAACCCTCCTCTGCCGCACAAATGTGTGATACAAGTATTTAGGTATAACATTAGTACATGATCTATATGTTATTTCTGGTTTGAAAGTCTATAATTAAATTAAAGTATTAAAGTCTATAATTAAAGTATTTCAGAGCATGAATAGTCATAGAAAACACCAAGGTCATGCAACAGATACATTACCTGAGAGTAAAGATATTGGCAAAGGTCTTCCTTCAGAAATACACCTAACCATGTACCTAGTTTGGAGGGTACAAGTTTTGAACACCATTGTTTGTTTGTTTTGTTCCATTAAGTGGAAGTGACATATAGGCTTTGAAAACAAAAATAACATCTGCCCTAGTAAGAAATTTCTAGAATATCCTGTTAATTTACTATCATAAATAAATACCACATAATGTGGGGGAAAAATGAACTTGTATCAGGGGTCCTAGTCAGGACATCAGGTAATAAAAGGAAGCCCACAGGCACACTTTCTGGGTCTGCCATGACAAGTGGAACGTGTCTGAAGAAGCAGCGGTGTGTCTGGTGGAGACTTCTGTGAGTTAGTCACACCAGCCTGCCTTTAAAGTCATTGGAGAGGAACAGACATGTGAAGGACACGAATCATACAGATATTGTACTGCAAGCACCTGAGGGTGAAACACAATCCATCCAGTAAGATTACAGGCATCACACTGAATCCCATTGTGCCACATTTCCCCCAGTTTAAAATGCATCTAATTCTTCCTTTCTGCTCCCTTATGTCTGTTGAGCTTGTAGGCACACCTGCTAAAAGAAGCATTGCTGGTTGCACACCTGCAAAACACAGTATGGAAGTGACCCCACACCTCAAGAGAAATAAATAAGAACTTCATTGAGTAGAAGTATATTTATAAACCAGAAACAAACTATACAGTGGAATGCCCTTAACTTCCATAAAAGTCAGCTCAAATCACTACAAGTAGAAGGAGCGAGTCCTGCAAAAGACTGCATTGTGTCAAGATACACGAAATAGCCCAGAAAAAAATGTCATATTATTGCTTTTTATTTGCTAAAAATAACTGCTTTGGAACACTGATAATTTGTTTTGGTAGGAATTACAATATGAAAGTCCTAACAGCATCCTGTGTAAAAATTTTTTTTTTTCAAAGATAATCTCATAACCATCATATTTTGCCTAAGAGATTTACAATGAAACTCAAAATCACTTTTATCTTACCTAGAAACTGCTATAAGTAACATATGATGAATAAGTTGTTCAACTATGATGGTTCTGAAAACTTCAATACAATCAGATGTGTGTGCTCCACTAGAGTTCATCACTCCCTTTGGCAAAGTCAGCAAGATTTTACATTTTAAAACATCTTAGAAAAATCACAGTTCAGTCTTCCATTTCTACATGCAGTCCCCATTGTTCCTGAAATCGCAGGAGATAAATTTCTTGGTCCTCTGATGATTCATCAGATACCTCTCTCTCACACAGTCTGGATAAAATTCCCTCTTTGTCAGGATCTTCACACTTGAATGCTCTTTCACATACCTGATTTTCAGCACTGGACAAAGTAGGAATATACAGTCTTCCAGTGTGAGGATCCCAATCTACTAATATGGTCTGTTCACCCTTTTTATCTGTGAGGCCCTGTGTTATTTTTTTCAGCTGAGGATAGGATGTCTGCCCAGATTTTCCTGTATCCAAGTCCACCAAGTTGACATGGGTCACACCTGGCAATTCATCTACTCCATCAATCACCTTCAAACTCAGTTCCTCTATTTTGTGTCCCAAACAAGGGTCTGCTGCCCTCACCTCTAGCTGGGGGCAATATGGCTGTCCTGTTTTCATAGTAACCAAGTTCTCCAAGGCAATCTGTGGCTCACCTAGTAGTCCCCTGGGGGCAGAAATGTTCTCTTCCAGTTCCTGAGCAGGACTGAAGTCTTCAGCCCTTACATCATGCTCATACTCTACAGTCTCTGTACTTTTCTGTCTCAAAGTATTCTTTGTTCCAGGATGGCCATAGGACGGCCATTTCCCAGTTTGGTCCCCTTCTGCTAAAATCTCTTCTTCATGCAAAATCTCTTCATGTGAAGTCTCAAGCTTCAACTGTTTCGTTTCCAGCACTTCTTTTGACGGGAAATCCTTCTCTCCAGTACCATTGTAAACAGTGTAGCGATGGGGACTTTTCCTTTCCGATAGATGATTGGATTCCCGAGATGGCTTGTACTCATCCCCGTTAACAGTGATAAGGTTGATCACAATTTTCTCACATGGTATGAAAACTCTTTCCCTGCATTTGTCAGTGTAGTGCCATAACTGGAAAGCAAAAATAATTTCATTTGTGTGAAGTATAATAAAAATACCATCTTGCTGCTTTTTACATTGCCAAGTATTTTTAAAATATAAGGCTAGGTTAGACCTTATTAGAAGTTTATTTCAATTCAAGGAAGAAACCTGCAGGAGTGTTAATACTTTTTTTATCTAAAGTAAAATTGTATCATGACCAGTTCTAATGTCCCTTTACATCATCTTCCCCGTGTCAAAATAACGGTCAGAACAATCTGTCAAACTCTGGTTTTGCTTCCATCAGCACCGACTCGAGTGACTTTGGAGAAAACATTAGAGTTGTCCATGGGTCAAAGGTTACAGAACCTATTCTGCTCTTTTAACAGGTAAAGAGCAGGAGCAGTCAAAACCACATCCCCCAAGCACAGAGTCAGGTACCATGTTACAGTATAGCTTACAGAGAATTAAATATCACTTTTCCTTTCAGAGAGGAAGCTATACATCAGGTTGAAAAGTGGTGTATGGAGCCTGAACTGTGCCATCTGTCACAGGCTGCTTTTGTGAACATTGCTGCTGCCACCTCTGTGCTGCTCTAAGTTTCTTCAGAAAGGTCAGCATGTTGAAACCAACTCCCTTATGCCTCCCATCCCATGGTGTCATGCAGATTGTATTAACATCAAAATGTTTATTCATTATTGTAATTTTATATTTACAGTCCAGTGATTTGTTTAGAGATAACTGTGAGGAAGGTCTACTGGGCTCATGACCTGGAAACCAGGAATATTTTTTAGACTTCGTATCATCTTTCTAAAAGTTAACAAACTTTGCAGCTCTAAGAAACTTACAAACATTTTTATATATAAAGTGTATTTGGGCTGTTTAAATAACAGAATGTGTTTTGCATTTTGAGGTGTTAGGAAATGGTGCCATATTTGAAAGTATAGTTGAAATGCAGATTAAATTATCTCTATGATGCACATGTTAAATCCTTCACAATTACAATTAAGTGGAAAATACCCAGTAATACTCCAAGAAAGCATCATAGAATTTCTGTACTGCTTTAATTATCTTCCCTTCTTGTTTCTGAATTCAACCAAATAATAACTTTTGTTCACTAAATCTCTACAGTGCTTCTTCCTACATAAATTTAAGTGCTGACTTCCTAACAGAGCTTGCAATTACTACTCTTTTTCTTGCATTTAATAACACTCAGTGTGATGTTCTTTTTGTGATATCAGTGCCAACTAGAGCTTTTATTTGCAGCTAGACAAATTGCACCTAGTCTGGGACTCTGACTCAGAGCCCCAGAAAATACACACACCTGCTGTGAGTGTCAAGATTGGCAGTGACCTCCTACAACAGGGAACACTTACCAGGTTTGTTGGATGCTTCTGTTTGCTGACATGAATATACTTGTGCACACAATAGCATATCATTGAAATAAAAAGGGCAGCTAGCGCAATAGGCAGAACATATCCAAATATGACTGTTGTAGTTTCATCACCTGTTTTATCTGTTAACAAAACATAAGCTTTCATTATACTGAGCAACTTTTTAATGCGTTCAGATAGTAATGTGTGCACTCGTCACACATTCTGTACCTAGAAATTGCTTTCTAGATATGGGATATAAATATCTTAGATAAACAAGTAATTTGCAGGAAATTAAAAAATTAGATTTGAGCTACAGGACAAGTTATTATCATTATCTAAATTACACATTAAATTCTAAAAAGTAGTAACAAGCCCTTCCTCAGTTTCTCCTGCCACTAACTTCAGACTGACCCAGATCTGCTACTCCCAAACATTATTCAAGGAGAAAAAAATATATTCTCCGTTCACTAAGACTCCAAGAAAGCAGATCTTTTTCTTCAGAGGTAGTGATGTACCTTCCAGTCAGTAGGTCCCAGCTATGTTTTATTAAAGGCAAAGACTTTCTTCATCAGTACAAATGCTCAAAGAGGGAAAAAACAATGCTTCACTCTCAGAGTGGATACATAAAAAACTTGCAAACCTAATCACCATGATGTTTTCTAACTTACGTCTTCTTTTTGTAATTTGCCAGTTTACACATACCTTTCAAGGTAGCAATGCAATATTCTTTGGAGAACCCACTGTGCAAAAGTGGTGTGGTGACATGTATCTGGGCACTGACACAATAAGCTGTTCCAGGTTCTAACCAGGGCACAACCAAGGTGTTGTTGCTGATGGAGAACCACCACTGAAAGACATTTTAAAAAAATAAACAACTACTTTTTCTCCTGTAGCTCCTCAGTTACAGAAAAGTAAAGAACTTCTGTACCAAATGTGTCACAATCACACAAATTTTCTGGAAAGAATGATAATGTAAGAACCGCAACAGCATCCTTTTTTTTTCCCCAAATGCAATAAAAACTCAAGTTATTTCATAGGCCACATCCTCTGAATACTTCATCTTCCATTCAATGATTCTTCTACTGAAGAATTTCATGCTTTATATGAAGTAGCACTATGTGCCATGAGTCAGCAACATTCTCATTCTGATGTTGAAATCGAGCTAAGGCATCATTCCAGCACTGTCCTGACCCAAAGGCCAGTGAAAAGCACACAGTACAGTGCCACAAAATCTTTCAAATTGGGATGTTCTGATAAAGATAGGAGCCTTAGAATAAAGGTGCTATGCAGACCTTGGCGTCAAGTAATTGCTATACATCAAGTGTATTGACGAAAAAGAAAAAGCAAAACCCACAACACGACCAAAACCCCACAAAATCCCTTTTGTCTACCTCTAATTGCTAATCTTGGCATTTTAATATCTCTTTTGACAGAAGGTGACCTTTCTGGTACAAAGTTTCTTGTCTCTTTTCAGGAAATTCTGAGATTTGCCAGAAAGATACTGTGCCCGGAGGATGGGAACAGAAGAATGAACGCTTCTGTAACTGATCACTGAACTCTTCCTCACCTACTGTGCTTATGCTGGGAACTACTACTTGCCAATGGCACATAAATCAGCAGAAGCATCAGATGTGATGAGAAACAATGCAGTTTGTCATGATGTATTATGAATACTCCCAGAAGACCAACTGGCTGGGGAGCAGCCCTGCCAAAGAGGATCTGGGGACAGGCAGCAAGACCATGAGCCAGCCAAAATGTCCTCACAGCAAAGGAAGCCAACAGCATCCTGGTCTCTGTTAAAAGAAGAGGGAGCAGACAGAGGGGAGGGATTATCACCCTCCACTCAGTGCTTATCAGACCATGTCTAGAACATCATGACCAGTTTTGTCCAACCCAATACAGAAAAGTCTGACAAACTGGAATGGGTTTAAAGGATCACCAAGATCCTCAACCTCCAAGTGCTAGAGCACTTGCCCTGTGAGGGGCAGCTGAGGGACTAGAGTTTGGTCCATGAAGGGAGAAGTGATGGCTTCAGAGGTGACCTAACAGCAGTCCCCAGGATGACCTATCAAGACAATAGAGACTCTTCACAGTGCTGAATGCAGGAAAGATGGAGACAGTGGACATAAATTCAAAAAGAGAGGTTCAGATTTGATAAAAATAAATTACTTTCTCCCTAAGAGGAAAGTCAAGCAGTGAAACTCACTTTGCAGTCCCCATCCTTGGAGGCTTTCAGGATGTAACTGGACAAACCCTAAGTGACCTGGTTACAGCTGACCCTGCTTTAAACAGGATTTTGGACTACAGACCTCCTGAGCCCCCTTCCAACCTGAATGATCCTACAGTTTCTCTAAGGCTATGAAACCTTTTTCAGGCAGACCAGACAAAGCGCATTTCAAGAGAACAGATTTAATAAGCAGTTCCACAGCCTTGTCAAATCTTACCCTCTTCTTTGTTTTTCTGTTGAGGACAGACACGTTGTATTGCAGGCCAGGATACACTTGAAGCAGAGATATGGATTCTCCCTCAGGACTCCTCTTCCACTTCTCAGGAGCAGTCAGAATGATTGAAATAGATTTCTCAGTAGAAGACACACTTACCATGGGTGGATCAATTTTAGCTGGAAAAATGAACATGCACAAAAGGCAGACAAATGCAGCAGAGGCACACAGATTTGACCATGAAAGGTTTTTTTAAAGTGGTTGATATTAAATTTTCATAATGCTTTGGGGAGTCTAAGTACGACTTTGAACAATTAACTTATATTGACAGAAAATTATTTCATCAGATAACTGAAGAGGATCTTTACAGTGAGAAGGTGAATACTGGCTTGGAATTTTGCCTAGGAATTCCTGTGACTTTGCAGGATAAACAACCTTGAAACTCAATTTGCTGAAACAAGTTAAATTACCAACATGTTCTCAGATTATCTGGCACAGATAAGAGATATTGTGCTCTGGAGTATGATTACTGCTTGATTTAATAGAGCCTTTTCAAAATCTGAGTTCTTTATGCTATGGATGGGCCACAGCTTTTATTTGCCTTGAGTAAAGATTTACCATAACATAAAATAACATTCAGTTTATGTGAGACCATACATATAACACACATCTATCCAAATTCTAATACAATTTTTTCAAATTACTTCTGCGAAAAGCATAAATGTGAAACAACTGCAAAAAAATCTAACCTCATGTTCAAATTAAAATATCCCCTATGAAGGCACATGCATTCTGAGCACACAGATTACTCAAGGCCATAGAACATCTGTCTGTGTGATTAGCTTTCCTTACTGTCTGTAAGAGGGCTGAATCGTGTGGTCTCTACCCAGTCAGAGCACATCCCATTTAGGAAGGCTTTAACGCTTGCATAGTATTGTTCTTCATAGTCAGAGGTCTCACTGGACAGGTCACACCATGTTCTGTTGATATTCCTGCATTCTGGCTTTCTAATCCATTTGCCAACGCCATATCTATATTCAAAAAGAAAGAGAAAGGAGCTGTATAAAAGCTATTGCCATGATATTAGTCAGCTGATAATATATCACAGAAACTGCTATTCTGGCCAATAAAACAGTTTACTTGTTTTGCAGAAATCTGCACTTCAAGGAATCCCCAGCTTCAGCCGAGATAAAACACATGATTTCCACAAGTTTTTGATGAAAAATAAATGAGAGTAGGCTTCAGCCTCCACAGCTTTAAACTGTAAATACATGATAACAGTCAGGGTAACTATTTATATATAGACAAGTAATTCTCAGAGTGGTCAGTGCTTCATCCTGGTGTAGAGACAGATTCTGCTCAGGGTCTTCAAGATGAGCGGACAGGAGACTACTTATTACTAAGTGTTACTTCTTTTTCTAGTTGAAAAGAAAGACTCCATTGGAATACAGTGAACTTCAAAATCCTTCTAGTTGAAAAATGGGCATATACCTGCTACCAACAATGCATTAGTACTAACCAGCTCCTATACACTAGTAGAAGAAATCAAGATTTCCTTGGAAAATTCTTGCCTGAATTTCATCAAAAGCTCCTGCTCCTCAAATTCACATTATTAAGAACACCCCCTTTGGCTGCTAATTAGTAAGGATGTGTGTCAGCTTCTGCATGACTGCAGGACAGCATCACTCACCAGCTTTTTCCACCTAGCTCGAGGCATTGCTTTCCTAGGTAGGTAGAGGCACACAGGGATATGTTTATGTAAGATAGCCATACCTAGGACTAGACTCTTCTGTGGACCAGCTGACCTGGCAGTGTAGCTAGTGCTCTCTGAACATTTTATCTGATACACAATTATCTTTCATTCCCTAATTACTGAGTGCTCTCCCCTTTTCTAGGAGGTCAACTATGTAATTCCTATTAGCACAGAGGGCAAGATCTGAGCAAAAGATGCTGCTGTCTCTGACTGTAAAAGCAACTCCTTGTTTTTTCTGGTAGCCAGTTCCAGTCACTGGAAACTTCTGGAGATTTACATTTGTTTTAGTGTCATGAAAACAGTACTAGATTGAGAGAAGTGTAAATATTAGAGGTAAAGACTGTTACATTTACAAGCCAAACTTCCAGCACTGTCCTTTAGAATGATTCAGTACTCTCTTGGAGGGAATAAAGGAAATGGATTCTGGTCCTCACTCAAATTCCCTGATACCCTATAAAGGTGCAGACCTTAAAAATATAAGGGCCTGATTCCAATCACATTACTTGATTTTTAGAATACTTGATAACTTCAATGGATTCTCTCCTAGACTTGAGAGATCAAAAAATTTCAGGGGTAGGGCTGGATGTGTTAGAACAGACCAACAGAACACCAGGTGCTGTTAATATTCTATTAAATACTACATCGCCAGGTCTGTTTAAATGCATACAGAAGGCCAACGTGTATAGATGCCAATCCACAGCACAGCCATCCTTCATTCTTCTGTCTCATTTTTCAGGAATGCCCTTGAAAGCATTAGTCTGTTGCATCCTACACTTCCTTCATAGGAAGGAAGTCTCCTTACAAGTGTTTTTAATTGGATTTGAAATAAACAGTGCCAGAGAAAAATTAAAGCTGATACTGCTTAAGTCTAACCCACATTTTAGTTCACACTTTACTTTTTTGCAGTCATATATTGCAAAAAAGATAATTTTTTTAATTACTATTTAACATACTAAAATAAAAGTGGAGAATAAAACAAACAAGCCAACTTACACCAAATACTTCACCTTGTAGAGTACTCCATGTCCTGTGCCTTCTGGTGCTGACCAGTGAAGGACATTCTTCATGTTTACAGATTCAAAATGGACATTCCTAGGGTTGGGCAAAGAACAACACAACACACCTGAGAAAAAAAATAAGAAAGAACCAACATCCCTAAGAATCTGCAAATACACATGCTTTCAAGTTAAGAAACAAATCCAACTTGTAAGTAAGCCATAAAAGTCTACATACTGCTGTTCTTAACATTAAAAGCACAAGGAAGAGGGCACGGAAATACAATTTTTTCAAGTGTCCCTAGCTAGTGCAGTCACAAATTCCATCTGTATGAATGTTTTTTCTCTAGCAAAACCAGCTTTGCCATTTAGGGTAGACAATGGTATGGAAATATCAGGGACTGGAAGCTAGAGCTAGAAAAGTTCAGCATAAAAGACACATGCATTTTTAAAATTGTCAAGGTATTTGACCATCAGAACAATTTAACACTGGAAATTGTAAAAATATTCTTGATGCTTCAGTAGAACCTTGTTGTAGGTGAGCGGACTTTAAAAAGTCAAACCAGGTATTTTAAAAAGACATGTGGAGTCCACTGCATACAGAGCTTTACAAACAGAAGTATGACTTCACACTGGAGAATCAGAGTGGATGATCACAATATCCCCAGTGTCATTCGATCATCCATGTTGGTTCTCCAGAATGTCAGAAGTGAACACATACTGCTAGGTCACTCATCTAAATTTCTGTTCATTGCTCCACCCTTTGAAATTAATAAACAAGCAAGTCTGGGGCTTTTAAGAATAATCTGTTTCTCATCTTCCTAATACACACTCCTAACGAATAAATCTCATGAAGATGATCGCATTGCTTAACTGCTTGCAAAACAGAGGCCCATGGGCTCAGGGTTAGAATCCAAAGCTCCAAGTTGGGACTCGATCCCCAGCACCTCCTCCATGAGGACTGTGCCCATGGGAGCAACCCCAAGACCAGCCCTGAAGCTGGAAAGGAGCTTCTCATTTGCTAGCAGCCACAAGAGCATAATGGGGAAGAGAAAGAGTAGCTCTGTGGTTGTTCTGGACTTCTCAAAACCCTTTAAGCTCTTCCTCCAGGGATACAATTCTAGCTCTTCAGACATCAAAAGGAGACAAAGAAAGGGGGAAATAAAGCATATTAACATGAACAGTGGGAACCTCTCTGAATGAATAGTCCTGAACCTTTGTTACTTCTGTAAGCAGATCTTAGGGTTTTTTTGTAGTGTATTTCACTATTACTAGAGTAATTGTGTTCATCCTCCTGTATATGTAACATACAGTTGCTTTTGCATGTAAGGGTTACTGATTAACTTGATCATTCTATCTGTCTTTGAGGCAAAGAGCAGAAACTTTTTAATACGTTTATTAGGACAATGTTCTTGCAATTCTGCAGAGATCAACTACTTTAAACTGTCTTGATGGAAACTCTGGGTATTCCAAACTCAAGCTGTTTGTTAATGTTAAAAACAAACAAACTCCAGTATATGCCTGCATCTGTATCTTCAGATCATAAAGCTCTTTACGGAGGGTATTTCTAATATTGCTCTCTTATCTCTATTACTTAGCTTGTGTAGAGTTGTCTTTCAATTTTTTTCTAGTATGAGAATAAGTTTTGTCAGATATAGTCCTTAGGCCAAGCTTACTTATTTACAAAAAATATGCAGAAAGTCTCATTTCCTGGACCGTTTGAAACAGAAATACCCAGTGACAGTCATCTTGTAAGAGCTCAAAATATAGAAGACCAGGGATGTGAAAGTAGCAGAAAGAGAGCTCTGGGATTCTGCCTTAACATTTGCTTCCAAATGAGAGAGACAGAACCTAGAAAATAAAAGGTTTTCATTTCACACAACATAAATGTCCTCTAGAACTGCTTCACTAAAACTAATCTAGATATAAAGATGAAGCTGCTCAAGAGAGAAAAAGAAAACAGCCTAAAATTTGCCACATCTGTTCAGTAGAATAGAGAAGCTCCTAAACCACTAATGTATATGCTACTAAGAAGAGCAAACCAAAACCAGCATCATGTGGACTACGAGAAATCACCCATGCACCAAGTCTTATTCTTTGCACCAAATCCCAGCACTAAAGTGTATGAGAGTGCATGAAACATATCAACTGTTGAATGAAAGATTACGAAAAAAAATAAAATAAAATAAAATCTTAAGTCACAAAATCCTGCCCAAGCCCCAGGAAAGGCAACCAGCCAATCCATGTAGGAAAAGGGTGAGTGACTGAGGCACAATCAAATTTTCTGATCCAATTTCCAAGTAGGAGGAAATACTACATAGATATTTTCTTAGATTGCTGGGAATCAAAGCCATAAAAGGCTTCTCATTAAACCTTTGGCTCTGAGCAAGGCATCTACTTTGTAGCAGCCACAAAGAGCAGAGGAAGACAAAGTCTTCCCTAGGTTGGTTTATCTTTCTAGTTAGGATGGACCAGACTGACTGCATCTCTCTCCTTCCAGTGGAGATGGTGGTCAAGCCCATCAGCCCTGATGTCTGCTTCCTCAGTAGTTAAATTTACCAGAGATGCACCTTGTCCAGGAAGGAGTGGAGGGGAACACTCTACGTCTTTACATCTTTACATGAGAAGGACGATCTATGCTCCATGCCCACCACAAACAAGGAGTAAAAGGAACAGAGTTCAGTTTCAACAAGAAAAGAGCCATTGGGGAAGCCTTGTGGGAAGAGGCTCATGATGATGGGTCACCCGAGAGGGCTGCTGGAAGGTTTGAACAGCAGATTAGAAAGCCATCTGCCAGAAATTACATTAGTATAGCTGATTCTGCTTTGGGTCAGTGGGATGGACGGAGTGACCTCAAAGTCAGTGCCAGCCCTATTCTGATAGTCCTTCTTACACCATCTAATAAATCTGGCTTTGCACTGCATAGTAAAAAATCCGGAAGGGATACTGCTGTATCAGGTACAACCGTAAAAAGGTACAGAGCATCCCTAAAAGCTCACTTCTCACACCTTTTTTTTTTTTTTAAAAAAAAAAGGTTTTAAAAGTATGTACTGCTTATCAGGCTAATCCAAAGTCACCAAACTGAACTGGCCAGAGGCAGCCAGGTTACCACAGACAAGGGAAATTACTTCCATGGTTTTCTGAATAGTTTTTGTTTGCCTATAACTTCCATTTGTCCATCCTGCCATAAAAACATTCATATTCCTCAAACACATCTTACAGGAGCAAGAGTCATGTATTTCTGTTACATGAAAATATTTTTAAATTAGTGATATATAAAGGTGTTTTTGTTGCTTTTTTCCCCCTTCCTCCCAGTGTGGTTTCTGCTGTGGTAAATGAAGTTTCAAAACAGAAACACTGACTGCAGCAGGTGAGCTAATCTCAGCACACAGAACCCACAGACTGTATCTTTACAAGATCTAAATCATTAACAACACTGCCAGTGTTGTAAAACTCCCACCTACCCCCAGCTCCATGTGATTTGGAAGGCAGAGCGACCAAGACCATTAACTTTCCATTAGCTGCAAAAGCAAAGATCTGGTTTCTAGTTCTGGTCTTGCCCCTTTAGGGAAGGGTTCTGTTTGCCCTTACAACAAAACACACAAATTTTTCATTCATCAATTCTGCATCTGTAAAGCAAGACTAAAACTAGTATGCTCCCCTATTTCTCCAGGGAGAGTTAAGAATAAACTCTTCCCTGTCTATTCAGTGCTCAATAGTATCAGGAGGCACGTGTAGAAAACACATCATATGTAGAGCTTGCAGGGTTGTTAGTCAGGAAAGGACTCAAGTATACGTATCAGCTGCTTATTTCAGTATCCTGCTTTTAAACACAATATATCCAGTTGTGTTCTGATTTTATTTCCATTAGCCAGGATTAACAGCATGAGTATTTTGAGTTCGTACTGGCCTACATGACAGTAGAAATCAATCATGCATGCTGCTTTGCTAGGTTTAGTCTGTCTCATCGATAGTCTGCAACGGCTGTCATCACTTCCCAGCACGAAAAAACCTGCAGCCCTTATTACAGTCTTTGGAAACTCTGTTAATCAAACCTTGAGTAATATCATTCATTTCTTCATGACTTTGCACACCTGGACTGGAAAGAAAATAACTTAGGCTTGCAAACTTCACCACCACAATGAAAATCCAAGTCCTGATCTTAGAATAAGCTACTGCAAGACTCTCCAAAATATACGACTTAGCCTGAAAACACCTTCACGTGCAAGCAAAAAACCACACTGACGTCAGTGAGATTATTCACATGAGTAAGATTTCATGGCAGGTACCTCATCTTCTCTTTATGAAAGTGTCTGCTGGGTTTACAAACCTGGTCATTTTTAACTGCATACACCACCCTACATGGTATGCGCCTTGCTCAAGCTGGTACTGTTCAAAGCTTGGTTTTGGTTGTTGCGGTATCTATCTACCCATCTGTACACATAAACATACACAAAGACACACACACACATATATATAGCCACAGCAGTAAAACCAGGGACTTATCTCCTACAGGTTTTAAAAGAGGAACTCCTTTTCTGACAACACCAGGGACTTTCGCTTCAACTACTGTTGTATTTTCTTACATGGAAGCAGCCCTTGAGAGCACCTCTGATGGAAGCAGCTCCTTTGTGCTGTGCTGACTTCAGCTGTGGGCAATGCTGCAGGCACTCCCTGTGCTTTGCCATTTGCAGCTGCCACTTCAAGGCCATGGATGTGATCCACGCTTATACACCTCTGAGGGAGGGCAGCCCTTCAGACAGGCCAGGTCAGAGATTCACCTTTTCCCACTGGGAGCTTAGACCCACCAATGTTGCACCAAGCAATTTAGGAGCAATATAGGACACCAAACATTGGCTTCAGAAAATATTGTAAGCTATTGCCCTTTCTTTTGTCTTTCTGTTCAGCTTTGGGTGAGTTCCACCAAACTCCTGTAAAACCTTGCTTGCTCCTATGATGCTGCTGCTACTACTTTTTAAGGAATTTTTGCTCTTTTCTTCCTCCACCTCATCTGTTTTAATGGTTATGCTGTTCTCAGTGAAAAAAATACTCCCTCAAACACATGCCTATGCAGAACATAAAATGGTCAGACTCAGAACAAATGTCCATTTATCACCATATTTAGTTGCACTCTCTAGCAGAGTGTTGCGGCTTCGTTTTCCAGTACATCTGCAATCTCAAGCAAGCTGGCACTGGCCATGTGGGAATTCGAGGGAGTACACCAAGTGGTAAACAGGGGAACCAAGCCAAAACTGGAGATCAGTAGGTACAGAGAGGAAGGGAAACCCAGTAAAGCCAGGAATAGATGTTAGCATCATTACCTGCTATTAGTCATCTTAGCAACAATTTAAATTAGTTGACTTTTTCAAATTAAGAGGGCTCGAAATTTTTTCTCTGTGGTGATTCTTTTGGACTTGAACTCAAAAGGCTGGATAACGAGGAAGAGAAGGAGAAGCACACAGAAGTCACTGCAGCTTAGCTGCCTTTCTCCTGGTGGGTTGCTAGAACTCTGGGACTGCAGGTCTAAAGCCAGCCTAACAAAACCCTTGACTTGAGCAGCGCTGGTGGGAATGTGGGGAGGAGTGCGGAGGCGATTTCCTGTTTTAGTCACAACAGCACTTGAGAGCTAACCACAAAGCACGATGTTACCCTCCCAGAATTGGAGCCCATCACTCCATTCACAGCCTGTTCAGAGGGGGCACAGGGAAGAGACAGACAGGGACAGAAACAGGGACATAATACCACATGAAAACCAGGTGGTGGAGCAGATAGAAAAGCATGGGAGAAGAAGTGGAGAAAGACTGAAGAAGGATGACAGTTGGGCATGTAGGGCTTGTTTTTGAAGAAACAGGCAGGCTGCCATTGAAAACAGCTGAGCTTGAGGAGGTCATCTGGGGAAAGAGTGTGAGTGGAAATACAGCCTGAAGAATGGGAGAGATGCAAAAGGGGGCTGAAGTTGCAGCTTGCCTTGAAACGTTCTCCTCCTCCATGTGAAGCCTTGTGTTTGTTATCCTAACTTACAAAAACACTTCCACAGAGAATATTGGTCAAAGAACATTTCAGACTCAGTCTAGAAAGACCCAGGTTCAGAAAGGTGGAGAAAGTCTCCCCAGTCTATTGAAGGCTTGCTAGGAAATAGCCAAAGGCCATGGCAACTGACACCAATTCCTTTTTGCCAACTTATTCAGAAATAAACTGAATTTTCTTCTTGATGGTTTGCAAGTGCAAGAGTAAAGCTCACACTATCTAACCATGCCTTGCTGCAAAAACCTTTCCTTGATGCACTTC